CTGAACCAAGCCATGGTATTTTCAATCACCTTATATGCATTCGAAAGCTGAACAATGAATAAGGAAGACTGAAGAAGAACTGATGCCTTTGAATTGTGGTGCTGGTGAAGAGTATTGAATATACCACACACTGCCAGAAGAACAAACAAATCTGTCTTGAAAGAACAGCCAGAATGCTCCTTAGAAGGAAGGATGGCAAGACTTCATCTTATGTACTTTGGACATGTTATCAGAAGGGACCAGTCCCTGGAGAAGGACATCATGCTTGGTAAAGCACAGGGTCTGTGAAAAAGAAGATCCTCAGTGAGATGGACTGACATAGTGGCTCCAACAATGAGCTAAAGCAATAATAATTACTGTTAGGATGGAGCAGGACCGGGCAGTGTTTTGTTCTGCTGTACTGAGGATCGCTATGAGTTGGAACCGACTGGACAGTACCTGACAACAACAAAGACAGCAATCTAATATAAATATGTTAATAGAGAAAGGATTTATTTCAAGGGACTTTTGGGGCACAGTTCCTTGATCGTACATTTTTAGCAAGATACATTCAAAAAACAATTGCTGTATAAAGTAATGCATTGTTAGGTAAGTGAAACGAGAACCCTACATTTTCAGAGTAAAACAAAAGACACAACAATGATATTAAGTTTAAATACCATAATCTTAAAACATAATTAGAAATATACATATGAAGTCATGATTTTTTTTATTCTTATTTTCCATTTCTAAAATTAAAGTATATAACTTACATATAATAAAACGCATAGTTCTGAGAGTTTTTACAAAAGCATACATTCATATAACTACCACCACAATCAAGATATAGGACCATTCTATCACCCCTCCAAGTTCCCCTATACACCACGCCCCACACCAAGCCCTTGAAACCTCTGATCCCTTGTCAATTTCTATGTTTTGCCTTTTCTAGAATATTATATATGTAGTAAGTGTGCATGTGTGCGTATAAAATATTACGGATTCTTTTACTCAACAAAATGCGTTTGAGATTCATCCATGGTGTTCTGTGTGTCAGTAGTTCTTTCCTATTTATTGTATAGTTCATTGCATAGATACATCAGTTTGTTTACGCATTTACCAGTAAGAATATTTAGGCTGTTTCCAGTTTGGGGCAATTATCAAGTCACTATAAACATTTGCTTACAAATTTTTATTGAACATAGTTTTAATTTCACTTGGATAAATACCTCAGAGTGGGATTACGAGGTCATATGTTAAGTTTATGTTTAATTTCATAAAAATGACCAGACTGCTTTCCAAAGAACTGTACCATTTTACATTGTTACTAGCAAATCAGAGGAATTCCAGTTTTCCCACACACTCTCTCTCTCACATGGCATTGTCAAGTTTTGTGTTTTTGTTTTTAGCCATTCTAATAAATGCGTAATGGTTTCTCACAATGGTTTTAATTTACATATACAGAGTGAGTGAATCCACACGACTGGACCACTAAGCAACATCATGATAAACAGAAGATTGCAGATGTCAAAACCAAAACCCGTTGCTGTCGAGTCGATTCCAACTCATAGCGACCCTATAGGACAGAGTAGAACTACCCCATAGGGTTTTCAAGGATCACCTGGTGGATTCAAACTGCCTACCTTTTGGTTAGCAGTCGTAGCACTTAACCAGTATGCCACCAGGGTTTCCTGAAGATGACAAGGATTTCATTTTACTTGGAGCCAAAATCAACACTCATGGAAGCAGCAATCAAGAAATCAAACAACACATTGCATTGGGCAAATCTGCTGCAAAAAACCTCTTTAAAGTGTTAAAAAGCAAAGATGTCACTTTGAAGACTAAGGTGCACCTGACCTGATGCACCTGGTGTTTTCGACTGCCTCATATGCATGCAAAATCTGAACAATGAATAAAGAAGACCAAAGAAGAATTGGTGCCTTTGAATTACAGCATTGGCGAAGAATACTGAATATACTATGGACTGCCAAAACTACAAACAAATCTGTTTTGGAAGAAGTACAATCAGAACACTCCTTAGAAAGAAGGATCGCAAGACTTTGTCTCACATACTTTGGACATGTTATCAGGAGGGACCAGTCCCTGGAGAAGGACATCATGCTTAGTAAAGTAGAGGGTCAGTAAAAAATAGGAAGACCCTCAACGAGATGGACTGACCCAGTGGCTGCAACAACGGGCTCAAGCATAACAACAATTGTGATGATGGCAGGACCGGGCAGTGTTTTGTTCTGTTGTACATAGGGAGGGTCGCTATGAGTGAGAAGCAACTCAGCGGCACCTAGTAACAACAGTGAGTGATGATCATAAGCATCTTTTCATGTGGTTATTTGCTGTCTGTATAATTTTTTGGTGAAATGACTTCAAATATCTTGTCCATCTTTTTTATTGGGGTTGTTTTCTTATTTTGAGTTTTAACTTTAGGCATTTGGGATACATGTCCTTTATCAGATATGTGATCTGAAAATATTTCCTGTAAATATTTGGCTATGGCATACTTTTCATTTTCTTAAAAGTACATTTCAAAGAGCAGAAATTGCTAATTTTGATGCAATCCAACTTATCAATTCTTTATTTTATGAATCATGCTTTTGCTATTATACCAAAAAAAAAAAACTTTGCCCAGCCCAAGATTACAAAGATTCCTCTCCTATGTTTTCTTCTAGCAGTTTTTAAATTTTAAGTTTTACCTATTTAGATCTATCACCCATTTTGAGTTAATTATTGTATATGTTATGAGGTACGAAGGTTCATATTTTTGCATATGGATAACCTTCAGCACCATTCACTGAAAAGACTATGTTTTCTTCATTTAATTATTTTTGGACCTTTGTCAAAAATCGTTTGACCTGTATGTGTGAGTTTATTTTTAGTGTATCCTTTTGTCATTACCACACTGCCTTGATTACTGTAGCTTTATAAAAATTATTCAAATCAAGTAATGTAAGCTCTCCAGCTTTGTCTTCTTTTTAAAAACTGCTTTGGCTATTCTAAGTTTTTGTTTTTTTATATGAATTCTAGAATCAGCTTCTAAATTTCTACAAAAAATTGCTGCTGGGATATTGGTTGAAAGTGTATACAATCTATTGATCAGTTTAAGGAGAACTAACATCTTAACAATACTAAGGCTCCCAATCCATAAACACGGTAAATCTCTCCATTTACTCTGGTCTCAAGGGAAAGTCCTAGAGTCTTATACAGCAGCCTAGAGTAGGGAGAATATTTCTTTGAATTTGTGGGACTCAAAACGCACTGAAACCTGTGAGAGCCAGAACTCGACGGGATGTCCTTGTTTTTCTGGGTCTCTGAGGTTTTCTGCCTTTGACAGAGTATAGATTTACCACTTTTCTATCACTTCTTTTAGTGGAAAATATTTGAGTTTTCCTTCTCTGGCAGGTTTCCACCTTACACAGATGCCAGATTTCCCAAGTTTTACTGTATAATCTTACCAAAATGTGTGTAGACAATGGTATCATTTAAAAAAGGCCCTTATAGACCCTGGAAGACATGCCCCCGGACTCTCTGTTAGCCCAAAACTAAAACCATTCCCAAGGCCAACTCTTCAGACAAAGATTAGACTGGACTGTGGGACATAAAATGATACTCATAAAGAGTGTGCTTCTTAGCTCAAGTAGATACATGAGACTAAATGGGCAGCTCCTGTCCAGAGGTGAGATGAGAAGGCAGAGAGGGTTAAATGGACACGGGAAATCAGGGGTGGAAAGGAGGAGTGTGCAGTCACATTATAGGGAGAGCAACTAGGGTCACATAACAATGTATGCATAAATCATTGTACGAGAGACTAACTTGAATTGTAAACTTTCACTTAAAGCACCATAAAAAAAAAAAGGCCCTTACAAGTTGCAAAGAAATAGCCAACAGACATGAAAAGGCAATTACAGAAGGACAAATCCAAATGATCAATAAGCACATGGAAAGCTGCTCAAATCCACTAGTTGTCAGAAAAAGAGCAAACTAAAATGACAATGACATCAACCGATATCCATTAGACTGGCATAAAATGAAAAAGTAATAATACTTATGGCTGGCAGACATGTGAAGGCAAGATTAATCTCACGCATGCAAAAGGAAATACTGATATACTAACTTAAAAATATATATACAGTCATGTGTTGCTAACATCCACAATACGTTCTGTGAAATAGGACGTTATGTGATTTGGACGTTGTGGGAACACCATATTATATACAGGAAGTCCCCAGGTTATGAACATTCAACTTATGTACAACCTGTAGTTATGAAACAACCCCCACAAAGACTAGTATATTAAAAATTCGAGGTACACATAATGGTTTATAATAACAAACGAGCGCTACTTTGCGATGTGCATCAAATACTATTATTATTATTATTGTATCATTACTCTGATCGGGATTTCTGAACTCTATTATAACCTTATGGGACCACAGACATTGGACATTGCCCAAACAGACGTTATGTGGCCCATGACTGTGTACAGCTTTATTGAAAGATATTCTGATTATAATTACCTGTAAATTTAATCTGAGTAAAATAATAATTAACTATAACTGATCATTAGAAAACTAACATTTAAAAATAATGTAGAAAATTCACTAAGATATTTTTAACTTACTTTACCAAACCTTTGATAAAAGCTTGTAACAAAACTCTGAACTTCACAATGTAAATCCTATCTCTTTAAGTAGTGGTTAAGAGTATGGGCTCTGGAGTTACAAAATATGAGTTCGAATTCTAAATCTACCACTAAAGGCAAAAGTCCTGAAATGGCTTAACTTCTTCAAAATGTTATCTCCTCGTTGGTAAAAAGATAAGCACAGAAATAAATGTTTACTCTCTTTTCTTATTGCCTGACAAGAAAGAAAGCACAAGGCCTGAATAAAGCACATAATGAATAATCAGAGTGTGAATTTTCAGAAATGAAGAACAATTTCCTAAAGTAAGGTACATCATTATCACAGATCTTTATTTTCTTTCTAGGAATACTGAAACATTATTCTTACGTGAATAGGTACGCAATATCATGGGGCCTTAGAGTAAGGTAGGATTGCTTCCATTCTAAAAATCTATGCAATAATTCATCTGCCTCACCAACTGTAGAAATCTTATTTTTATCTGACCACAACTCCAATGATGACAGCACAATAGTAACTTTAAATTGGGTAAAGATCTAAAAACAGAAGAGATAAATACATGCAAAATTAATATTTATGTTATAACACCCTAGAAATTAACTCAATGTTCTGACATACCTACATTCAGTTTGTATGGATAACTAAATTATCCAGAAATGCCACATCAAGCTAATTCAAATTATAACTTCAAAAGAATTTTTTCTAACTAATATGAAAAGGAAAGTACTTACCGAATTTACAAGGCCAATAATTTCGATGATTTTATTTGTTACTATCATATTATCAGAGCCCAAGTAATCATACTGAAAAACAGAATTTTAAATTTAAATGCAATTTGTTAGGTAATGTTTTTGGGATTTACCCTCTATCTACTCCCAGAAGGTTTGAGGCTGCTTTGGGGTTATAACAGCCCAAAATAGATATTAACAAATAAAAAATGAATATACATCATTGGTGGCAATATAAAATGGTACAGCCACACTGAAAAACAGTTTAGCAGTTTCCTTCAAAACAAGAAAATGGACTTACCATATCACCCAGCAATTCCACTCCTGGACATTTATCCCAAAGAAATGAAAACTGATGTTCACACAATAACCTGTACACGAATGCTTATAGTAACTTTATTGGTAACATGCAAAAACTGGAAAATACTCACATGTCCTTCAGTGATTCAAGTGTTAAACAAACTTTGGTACATTCATACTATAGAATACTACTTAGCAAAAAAAAAAAAAGGAACAAACTACTGATACATGACACAAGTTGTATAAACTTCAATGAATATCATCAGAGTGTAAAAAAACAATCTCAAAAGGATACATACATACTGCATGACTCTATTAATGTAACATTCATGAAATGCAGGACAATAATCACACAGATGGAGAATAAATTAATGGTAGCCAGAGGTTAGAGTGAGGGAGAGAGGATGCGTGTGGCTATAAAGGGATAACATGAGGGAGTCTTGTGGTGAGGGCACTGTTGGGTATTTCAACCGTGGTGGTGGTTACACAAGGCTACGCATGTGGTAAAACTGCATAAAGTTATACACACACAAAAGAGTGTGTATATAACTGATGAAATTTGAATAAACTCTGTGGATTTTGGTTTTGATATTGTACTATATTGTGTAAGATGTTAACACTAGGGTAGGCTGGGAGAATGGTACACAGGACTTCCCTATACATTTCTTCGTAATTTCTCAGAAACGTATAATTATTTCAAATTTTAAAGTTAAAAAATATGGATATAAGTCATTATTACTAAAGAAAGCAGAAAAAGCAGCTGACATCAGGTACGTATGATAAGCAGGGAACTACAACGAGACAACAAATTTATGCCTGTTTTTAAGAAACTAAGCTAAAAATACACATTAAGATATACATTTTAATAAAGAGAAAAAAATCATTTACAACGATTAAAAATGTTTCCCAATAAAGAATTGTTAAAATTTTCTATTTAATATTTTAAGTCAATATAGTGGAATTTGAAATAAATATCCTTGGTAGTGTATTTAATTATAAAAAAAACCAAACCCATTGCCGTCGAGTCAATTCTGACTCATAGTGACCCTAAAGGACAGAGTAGAACTGCCCCATAGGGATTCCAAGGAGTGCCTGGTGGATTTGAACTGCCCATCTTTTGGTTAGCTGCTGTAGCTCTTAAACACTATGCCACCAGGGTTTCCTAAGTATAAAAAAGTGGCATAAAATAAAATTTTTAAATGTGGGGCTCATTAATTGCCAATATTCATGTCAACACTGTTTATGAGTTCTTTAGCCAAGAAACATGGTAAAATTCTAAGACTTCCAACAAAGCAAGATGTATTAAGAAAAATACTTAGAACTAACTCCTTTTAATCACTTCTGAACAATAAAAATCTTTATTAATCATAAGACATGGAGAAGTTAAACATCTACTATAGTTCATAATGCCTGTATGATAAATGCATTTATATTTTATACCCGTTGCCTTTGCCATCGCCGTCGAGTTGGTTCCAACTCATAGCGACCCTACAGGACAGAGAAGAACTGCCCCATAGGGTTTCCAAGGAGCGGCTGGTGGATTCAAACCGCCAACCTTTTAGTTAGTAGCCGAGCTCTTAAGTACTATGCCACCAGGGCTCCAAATATATATATTAGGCATATTATATTTTTTCCCATTTCTGAAATAAAATTCCACATTATTTATGAAAGTATATAGTTAAGTACAATTTATATAAGCACAAATATCTTTTAATCTCTAAACATATTAAAATAAAATACAATTTTAAAATAATAAATAATTGTTGTCAGTAACAGTACAACTATGTTCACAAGTGCTATCACTGCTGACCCAAGACCTCTCAAAAACCATCATTCTCTTCTTGCTATACACTGACATAACTGTCCCACAGCCATCTACCTAACCAGAATTTGGCTAAGCAAGTGTTAGAGACCACTTCCAAGCCAAATACCTATTCAAAATTCAGAATAGAATGAGGTCCCATAGAACAAACAATGCTATTTAAAAATAATAATGATAGTAGTAATAAACTTTTGATCTCCTCAAACCAACTCTTCCCTAGTTTTCCCTGATACAAAGCATCAAGCTAGAAACCTGTGAGCCAGCCTGGACTCCTCCCTCTCTGTTACCCTGACCCTATATATTCAATCTGTCTACAAGTGTTAAATCAGTTTTATGTCCAAAATGCATCTTAAATTCATCTACTTTATCCTTCTTCACTGCCACAATCCTCAATTCAAGCCGAGATCATCTCAAAACTCACTCTTGGAATAACTTTCACTTCTACCTCCCCCTTCAAGACATTTTCAACAGAGTAGTCAGAGTGCTCTTTATCTAATGAAAATTGAATTATGTCATTCCCAGCTCAAAATTGTTGAAGGACTCACACTTATAATAAAAAATCCTTAATATGGCTATACAGCCATGCATAATCCAGCCCCTGACTTCCTCATTAGTTTCACCTGCCATCACTCTTCTACTTGCTCACTCCCAGTGTCAAAAATAAGTAACTGGGAGTTAAAGGAACCCAGGGGTTCCTTTAATCAGTGGTTTGAGAAGACACAAAATTTACAAGCTTGAGTTAATCGAAGTGGGGATGCTCAGAGACATCCCTCTAAGTCAATAACAGCTATTGTGTTTTTGCTGAAATCAGTCAGAATAGTATGTGGGATTTTACCCTTCCTAATATGCTGGAACTGAAGTTCCAGATGGGCCCTTAAAAGTGTCACTAAGTCCTCCCAGGAAATTATTTTGGCTTTCAGCGTACAAATCCTAACTCCCACATTTTTTCATTTATTTGCTTCTGTTATTTTGACCATATACTAGTCCATGGATGCTCCCTTCCTTCCCATCTTAGGCTCTAGACTTTCACTTCTGCTATTTTGATAACATTCCTGGAAATGGTCCTCTGAATTTGCTATTGTACTCTACCATGGCCACTTGGTTCTGACACATTTGTTAAATCCATAGGGTCCTACATTAACATCATATCTCTGCCAAGTCTTACAGTACATAAAACAAGATGTGCATTCATAGATTCAAGTCTATGTAAATAAATGTATTTCCTCGTCCAGTACAGAATAATGGAACCTACACAACACTCACAAAATTGCTCAGCTTTTTGTATATCATTTATTACATATTACATGTCTCTTTATATGCCAAAGTTCCCAGTTCTTTTCCTCATTCTAATAATTTCTGAACATCAATATCTAGCTGTCAATGGTACATGATGATCAGAGTAATAGCCATTAAGAGGCTGTCTTAGTTATGTAGTGCTGCTATAACAGAAATACCACAAGTGGATGGCTTTAACAAACATAAATTTATGTTCTCACAGTTTAGGAGGCTAGAAATTCAAATTCAGGGCGCCAGCTCTAGGGCAAGGCTTTTTGTCTCTGTAGGCTCTGGAGGAAGGTCCTTGTCTCTTTTGATCTTCTGTTCCTCAAAGATCTTCATGCGGCATGGCATCTATCTGCCCCCCATTTCTACTTGATTAATCTGCTCCTTTTATATCTTAAAAGAGATTGACTCAAGACACCCCCTACACTAATACTGCCTCATTAACATAACAAAGAAAAAACATTCCCAAATGGGATTGTAACCACAGGTTGCCCTCCAGTCGATTCCAACTCCCTAGTGACCATATAGGACAGAGTAGAACCGCCCCCACATGCTTTCCAAGGAACGTCTGGTGGATTCGAACTGTCGACATTCTGATTGGCAGCTGAGCTCTTAATCACTGGGCCACCAGGGCTGAACCACATGTACAAGGGTTAGGATTTACAACACATACTTTGGGAGGACACAATTCAATCCATAACAGAAGCTAAGCAGGCAATTTAAACAGTTCATTCTATATGCCAGGAGGACTAACCGAATGACTAACATGGACATTCTATAATATCTTGATCCAGTATATCCTGTTCTGTGCCAATCAGTGTGTTCTACTTTATAATGCTCCATATCACAAACTGCTCCTCATAAGTCCCCTGAGGCTATCAAGTGAGGCAACACTCAGTTCACATTAACTTTATTCTTCTTTGGAAGTGACCAAGACAGTTTAAAATGATTTTTAAAAAAAAAGCAGCAGCAGCAGCTTGGCTCAACAACCCAAACTCAATCATAGGATAAAATGGTTGATTATCTATAAGAATTCACAGAGCAATTCACCAAAATCTGGTGCAACCCTTCTGTCTTACCCCCTCTCCCTCTAGTACTAAAAGAAATAGTGCCCAACGGGATCTCTTTTCTCATTTTTTACATTTTTCCTTGCTGTCCTTTTAACTCCACTGGCTTTAAACATAATCCATATGTTCACAACTCACATGTTTAGTACAGATGTCTCTCTTGAACTCCCAATCTATAGATCACTTCCTATAGAACATCATCCTTTGGATGTTCCACAGGCCTTTCAAATTAAACATATCCAAAATTAAACACATTTCCCGCCCCCCCAAAAAACATGCTCCTACTTAAACATTGTCACTACTTTAGTGAATGGTATTATCATCTATTACCTCCCATGTTTATAATAATGCATGATCCATGACAGCAGAAATTTTTCTGTTTGGTTCATTGTTGTAATTTTAACAACTAGAACAGTGATTGGCATCTAGAAGATGCTCAATAAATTTGTTAAGTAAATGAATGAATCAAATCAATTTACAAGTCCTTCTAATTCAGCCTCACCAGTAACTTAAGTCTGTCCCTTTCTTTCTATTCCTAATGCCACTAATTCATAATTTTTCATCATGATTGCTAGAAAGGTCTTTTATACAGTTCCAATTTTCCCACCAGCAATCATACTATTGCCAAAATGATACTAAAAGAAAACTTAAATATGTCACACCCTGCTTAAAATCTTCCAATGATTCTCCATAGCTTTTAGGATAAAATCAAAATAATCTATCAATTCCTTAATTCTTCTCTTTTCCACTTCCCTTGTTCAATTCTGTATATTAACTATACCAAACTTCTTACAGTTTCCTAAAAAGGGCCTTTTCTCACATTTATGTGTCCTTGCAAAGAAAGGACAAAAAGTCTTCCTCAGCTGTGATGTTTAATATTATGTGTCAACTTGGCTAGACTATGAGTCTCAGCGAAGTGACTTGGCAGACACTGTATAATCACCTTCCATTTTATGACCTGATGTGAGCAGCCGATCAGTAGAAAGAGAGGTTTTCTTGGGAATGTGGCCTGCCTCCAGTATATAAATGGATGTTCTGGCAAAGCTCACACTCTCTCAGCCCTGCACTCTTCTTGTCAGCAGGCTTCTGGTTCTTGAGACCTAAGCCTGCAGAAGTTTTCCGCCTGCCACCTGACCTGCAGATTTTGGGTTCACCAGCCCACCAACCCTGTGAGTCAGCAGAGGCCTCCAGCCTGCCTACCACCTGACCTGCAGATTTTGAGTTTGTCAGACCTTGCAACCACGTGAGCCAGCAGAAGCTTTCAGCCTGCTGCCTGACTCATGGATTTGGCACTTGCCAGCACCTTAAATTGCGTAAGCCATTTCCTTGGGTAAATCTCTCTATATATATATTTACAAATACGTGTCAGTGGTTTGGTTCTCTAGAGAACCCAGACTAAGACACTGGCCTTCGCTTCCCCTTATTCCCCATTTCTTGTCTTGATTAAGCGTCTCACTTGCAGGCTCTTCTAGTACCCTAGGTTACAACTGTATGCTTCTGTGTATGTCTCCGTTATGAGACTGTGTTTTCACAGCACCATATGCTTCCCTCAATCATGGTACTGAATTCGCTAGGCTACAAATTCATATTTACAATTTTGTAAAGTCACTGAAGACAATATTAGTATTCTTCTTCTTTTACATGCCCATCATCTAGTGACACAGATGTCATATAGCTGACTTAATGTTTGCTGAAAGAATTTATTAAAGAATATGTAAGTATGTATAAAAATATAGAGCAGGAATGTTTAATCAGCATTATATTGCTTGCAAATCCAGCAATCCGGGCAAGAAACTTAAAACTCTCTAACTTTTATAACATAACCTTGAAACAAAAGAATTTTCATAATCCAAAATATTACCTAGAAATTTAGACATCTTTACTAGAAATACCTCAATTTTCTTTTAAATATTTCCTTTGCCCTCCTATCTGCACTCTAATAAATCAAGTATTTTCATCTCCTTCTCCAAATCTCTCCTGTTTCTGATCCTCCACTCTGGGTTCCTGACAAGCTCTACAATCCTACAAACAGAATTAGTAATGGGTCCAATGCACATGGAACATTCTCCAGAATAGACCACATATTAGGCCATAAAGCAGGCCTTAACAAAACCCAAAACATCAAAATACTACAGCATCTTTTCTGACCATAAAGCCATAAAAGTGGAAATCAAAAACACAAAAAGCAAGGAAAAAAAATCAAAGACATGGAAACTGAACAACACCTTGCTCAAAAACTACTGGGTTATAGAACAAATTAAGGATGGAATAAAGAAATTCATAGAATCAAACAATAATGAAAACACATCCTAC